TGACATCTTAGAAGCAGAGAACAGCCTTCACCAGACACTGAATCTGCTAGCACTGTGATCTTAGACTTCCGAGCCTCCAGAACTGTAAGAAATCAATTTCTGTGCTTTATAAATTACCCAGTCTCAGGTATTTTGATATAGCAGCACAAAGGGACTAAGACAGGGAGTTGTAATCTTCGACTCTCTTCTAATCTCCTGGGCCCTGCTGCATGAATTATATGTCCAGAAGTTGCCACGGGAGATCCCAAGAAACAGAAATACGTGCTGGATGACCTCGTTTTGGCAGGAGGCAGTCTATAGAAGCTTACAATCTTACTCCATGGTGTACCCTCACTGCAATCTGCTCCTGAGGCCCTCGTGTCTTCCCAAGTGCTGGGAAGGAGGCGCCCATATTACCTTATGCTCTAGGTACTCCAGCATCTAGCGTAGTATCTAGCACGTACAAAATGATTAATAAACCTTTGTATATCTGCTATTGCATAAATGAACAAGCCAGCACATCTTCCTACCCTGACTTAGGTTTCAACTTCCTATAGGTTATCACCCACTGACTAGAAAGAAACCCAACTCATAGCATGAGCTCCTTGCTCGGTGAGCAAGATTTGACAGAAAATCGCAATTATATGTAAATCAGGATTCATCTCTGTCTTGATTCATTTTGACCCTTTTAAGAAACTGTATGGAGACACTTCTCTAGCCCTCAACTAAAACATTGGCAGAGCTGACCTAGGAGAAAAAAAGAAGCAAGTGAAGCTTATGAATCTTCGCCCAGGAGTAAAATGGTGAAAATATAGATTCATCTCTCCAAAGGATAATATAACACTGAAGAGTCTATGGATCAGAATAAAGCTCCACAGTTGTTTCTCAGGACCATGAAAGTGGGGAGTACGCAGAGGTCTGACAGATTGTTTCCCGGCAGGGGAATTTCCACAAGGGAGTGCCCCAAACCATCTCGAAATGTGGCTGGTTGGATTCCAGAGAAAGAAGCACTAAGTGCCAGAGTGATCGGTCCAAAGCATTCACTAGGGCAGTTTATGTACAGAGTGCTGTAGCCTATCCTCATGACAGACAGTGAGGGAAAGGGATGTTCTACCTAGGTATGTCTACAGCGAAAGGGTCAGGGTATGGACTTTATAGGAGGATTTAAGTAATTTGGCTCGGGGCCGGTGCCAGTTCCTTCTAGTGTTTTGTCTGGGAATACTCATGGCCCCAGTTTGGATTCAAGCCTGCAGGGAAAAATGTGCAGCTGGCTGGGTCACAGAGCTGTCAAGGCACTCTGTGATTTTTGGTCAGAACACAGAGAGTGGGGAAACTGAGGGGCCCGTTGCAGATACAGTTTCCACTAGGAACTTGCACACTGTCCAGGGAGCCCAGCTCTGGCACTTTCAGGATTCTCACAGTGCTGACAACCTGCCTTTCCACAGTCAGCAGTTTCCTTTGACCCAGACCCGAGGGCCCATATCTCTGTTCCATGTCTCAGGATTGGAAGGAGGTTCATTGAAGAAAATTTCTAACAAGAGTTCTGAGGGCAACCCCTTTCTTTTCCAGCCTGTTGCGGCCCTGCCTCTTCATCTTATATCAAATTTTCCTTGTCCAAATACTGGCTCACTCTCCTTTTGTTCTCTGCTCTTTCTCCCTAAAATATTCTCTGTCTAGCTGCAGAGGCCTCTTCGGTGCCTGGACCAGCACCCTCCTGCTAGAAACCCAGGTTAACTGCTCATGCCGATGTTCTGCTCTGTCTGGTGCACTGGATGAATCTAAATGAGAACTCAGCTCAGCCCGCGGGGCCTCCCCCTGCCCAACTCGTTTCTCTTTTTAAGTTTCAGAGCCCAAGATACGAGATTACCATATATGACATTAAACAGATGATGAAAATGTGCCTCCAGCAATGACTTAATGTCAAAGCAGAATCTGGGCTATTTCTCTAAGAGCCTAGGTGGATACACCGTCCTCACCCGTAGTAGTAGTAGTAGCAGGATTAATGTGGTTTCCTCACACTCATCTGAAGTTTGGATCAAGTCAGCAGTCCTTTCTGGAATTTGGAAATTGTTGGGTTCTCCCTGACTTCCTTTCCTAAAACTAGTTGAAATTTCCTTTCTGCCCAGGTCTCAGACCTTCTTTTTTTTTTTTTTTTTTTAAAGATGACCGGTAAGGGGATCCTAACCCTTGGCTTGGTGTTGTCAGCACCACGCTCTCCACGCTCTCCCAGTGAGCCAACTGGCCATCCCTATATAGGACCCGAACCCGCGGCCCTGGTGTTATCAGCACCGCACTCTCCCAAGTGAGCCACGGGGCCGGCCCGACTCAGACCTTCTTTCAGTCTTGTTTCTGCCTCCGGATGATTCCCTGGACATGCATTAGACCCCACTCTGTCTCTTTTCTATTCAGATTCTTCCCTCTCATATTCATATTCCCCAGCTGCTATAAATCCAGTCTGCCTGTCTGCTGAACAGATGGGGCGTCTTCATTCTGACTTGTTTATCCCAGGCATCCTACTGGGTGTGCCACACTCCCCCTGCTGGCTTTCTAATGACCTAGAAACCCCCTGGCTCCCAGAGCCTTCACATTCACAGCCCTCCTGACATGGGTGGTCACAACTTCCCCAGCCCCCTTGCATGACGATCCTTACTGATCAGGTCTCTCTCCAGCCAAACTCAAGTTTTCAATAACTCATGGCATTGATACCACTCCTCTTTGAATATTTTGATGCCACAATCTAAATTATAAATAAATAATTTAGCTAGATTCATCTCTCAAATGAGGTCTCCAAGCAAAATAAAGTCCCATCTGTAGGGCATTCTGCTTTAGGATATATGTGTCCTTCCAAAATTCCTATGTTGGAACCTAATACAAAATGTGATAGTATTAAGCGGTGGGGTGTTTCTGGAAGTGATTAAGTCATGAGCACTCTCCCCTCATAAAAGGAATTAGTGCTCTTATAAAAGAGGTTGAAGGGACCAACCTAGTCTCTTACAACCCTTCTGTTATAAGGCTGCACTCTAACCAACTGAGCAAACCGGCCAGCCCTATCACATCCCCTCTGCCCTTTGGCCATGTGAGGACACAGTGTTCATCTACTCCAGAAGACACAGCAATGAGGCACCATTGTGGAAGCAGAGAAAGAGCCCTCACCAGACACTGAATCTGTGGGTGCCTTAATCTTGGACTGCCAGCCTTCAGAGCTGTGAAACATAAATTTCTATTATGCGTAAGTTATCCAGTCTGAGGTATTTTGTTATAGCAGCAAGAATGCACAAAGACATGCAGTGTTTACATTTCTTTGTTTTTCCTTCTTGCATCAGACAGCTGGTTATCAATATGCTGTGCTGGACCATCCTTGTTCAGGGCAATCTGACATGTGCTTTATGTGAATTAGCCCCAGTGAACCCCACTGCAATGATATGAAGTGTGTATCATTGTCTCTATTTCACACTGAGGAACCTAAGCTGAAATGATACGCTGCTCTGCCTTCTCTTCCTCTCTGGAGAAACTGCCTGTTTTCTACACCTTTCTTCAAACCCCAGAGGTGTGGTTTCTCATTATGGGAAATATTCCCCGAAACTTGGAAATATGTGAACTGATGCTGGGACAGGGTATATAACTTGGAAAACAAGAGACTTTTATCCAGTCCCATTTTGGATCACACCTTCAGATATATGGATTTCTGTGATTTTTCTTCTCTCAGAAATGGCAAAGTATGCCCCACAAGCTAATGGGCCCATTTCTGTTTCTTTCTTCAGGGGCTCAGGGTGGGAGACTAGAAGGGGGAACAGAAACAAGGGTTAATTGCTATGGGAAGAGAATGGAGAAAGGCCCATCTGCTGTGAGTGTCAAGACTTGGAGTAGCTGACGGTCAATAATGACAGCAGCATGCACACGAGAGGCCAGCACCAAGTGAGAGGCCTCAGAAGGAGAACAAGCAGGACTGGGCTTGCTGGCACTCAGGGCAATGTGCAGATGGAGCCCTGACCCAGGGCCTTGGAATGTAGCCTTCTTCCCATGTGCTTCTCAGGGAGGCGGTGCGCAGAGACTGGTGAGGCAGCCTAGGGCAGGACACTGTGGCATAGGAGCACTGGCAGGCAGGCAGCCCTCTTGCCGACTGCTCAGTGACCACTGGAGCCAACCCCACAGTGTGACATCTCCCTTTCTTTTGGACAGTTTGTCCTGCAGAGCGGCCCCTACCCCCTTCTCCCAAGTCTGACATTAATCTGCTTCCACCCAAGTGCGCCCTAGGACTGGATATCGGTTTGTTCACTATTGGGACCCAAAATCCAAAGCATCTCAGTGGCTCCAAGTTAGCTTACGACCTTCTTGATATGGAGGGAGGGGGAATATTATAGGGAGAAAGTCATTCTTTTGTTGATAGGACCACAAACGGATGTCATATTTTTAATGAGGGATGCAAATACTAAACAAATTATGATCACAGTATCTTGCTAAAAGGAATTTAGATGTCATTAACTGGCCATTACTAAATTAAAGAAGGGGCTGGATCTGATGGAATGGCAGGCTCCTGTTGGAGAGGCCCAGGGAGGACCATAGGCTCCAGCTCATCCACAGGGTAGACACACCCTTCCCCTACTGGGGTCCTGACTTGTGCACTGTGAAGCCTTACACTGGCACAGCCAAGGTCCAGGGTCAGAAGCTTACAGATTCCCTGGAGAACACAGAGGTGTGAGTCCAGGGTCGCAGTGGGGTTAGCAGTGAGGGACCCTGTGAAGAACCCTTTACTCCAATGGTGCTCACTGTTGACCACTTAGTATGTACCAGGCCCTGAAGATACAACTTGAACGCTCTGAACAGCCACAGAAATAAGCAAGGAAGTAACAGATACCTTGGAGAGAAGAACCAAATGGAAAGAATGATAAACAGTGCCATGAGGTCTTGGAGCTGAACCTTTTGCAGCCCAGTGCCCAAGCATAATGGATGTTCAGTGCCTTCTGGACATTCCCGAGGTTTAAATTGGGGAAGCAGGTTACTATATCATAGGGGACACCAGATGGTTTACAATGAAGTTCCCTTTATTTGTGACCATTTCTTTACAATCATCCACGCAGGGATAATGCCCAAGACCGAAACTCCCAAGCCCAATTCACCCTCTACACATTCAGATTCATACTTCTAACTCTAGTATATGCATCTACCTAAAGATCCCATCTGCACACAAAGTCAATATCTGCCACCACCCCTAATCTTTCCTTTTCCTGCTCATACTGAGCAGTTGTTTGAAAGTGTGGCTTCTACATTCCTTCACAACGCATTTACATCTGGGGCTTCAGTGTCCAAGTGCCCAGAATAAAGCTTCTGCTACATGTGCACAACTAAGCAGGCAAGAAACAGGGGCACAGGATGGGCTGTGGGTCAAAGAAGATCCTGTCGCCACACTAAGGATGGGCTGGCACTGAACCAGACCATATCCTGCCGTCCAAATTCGTGCAGCATCCACTTCAGCATGGCATGCAACTGGGCAAGTCTCCCCAGGTGGAGGACACCATAGTCGTCATCAAAACTCTCCAGTGGGGGAGGATACAGCACATGGGTTAGCTTGCTCATCCCGACGGTGTGGCGCACGAGGTTCTCCAAGACAGCCATGGAGATGGGGTTCCCGCAGAACCTGAGGATCATGAGCTGGGAGCAGCGGCTCAGGACAGGCAGAATGGCACTGAATAGGGGGTCCATAATCCCACACTCATTTAAATCAAGATCCTGGAGGGTTGCAGAGGCTCTCTCCAGCAGAAGTTGGAGGGGCTCAGGATTCACAGTGGTCAGCATGACCCCACTCAGACTCAGTTCCTTCAGCTGAGTGATGTTGGGGCACTGGGACAGATGCATCAGGTCTGATTCTGAAAGTAGGGAGTTAGTTATGGAGAGGGTCTCCAAGGGACTCTTCAGGCACCTGGGGAGAGACAGAGCAGTTAGTGCCAGGGAACTGTGGTAGTGGGCAGAAGGTGATGGGGTGACCCAGGACTCAAGGCAGGAGAGGCCCATTTCACCAAAACCTAAAATCTTCCTGGTGATAGTCAACCCCCAGGATGCTATGCTGTAAAGGGGCATTCAAGTGAGTCCAAGTTCAAGTGGAGTCTTTTCTCCATTACTTACTTACTATGTGACTGGGTAAAGAAAACAGAATCTCAAACGACCCTTGCTCATCTGTCAAGCATAGGACAAGATATACCTCTTAGGTGTTGGGAGCATGAATTGAGATGATGACGAGACATGCTCAGAACAGAGCCTTATCCAATGTTTCAAGCACACAAGGGCATTAGCGAATTTCAGTATTTGGAAACACAACCAGATGCGCTTTCAACTCGGATTCCTTTTGGCCAGTACTTGAGTTCAGTCGCCTGTATCTCTGTGCCCAATAAGGGTACTGGGAAGCATTCATAAAGGACAAACTTGGGCAAGGTCGTCAACATCCAAAGGGGGTTGCCAGCCTGCAGGGGCCACGTTAGATCACTGTGTCATCAGCAAACCATCTATCACATTTTAAATCCCTCATTCCTGCTCCTTCCCCCTCATCTCCAGAATCATGCCTTTCCCACATATTACCTCACCTGGAATTCAAAACCACCCTTTACAGAGCGGAACTAATGAAGGAGGTTTGGAGGGAGAGGCTCATGCTGGGAAAACTGGTGAGTGCAGGGTGAACAATCTGAAACCTCACGTTTGATGGTCTTTCCCTTCTTCTTCAGTGCCTTTCATCTTAACTTAGATTTCACTTCCCAAGGAATTCGCAAAGCCACCCTCCCCAGGCCCCAACCCAATTACACAGTTTCCTATGAAAGAGCCGCTTGTAATAGCATCTATCCTAGTTTACACCTCTAAACTTTATCTAGGCAGTTCCGTGATTCCATGCATAGGGACAGAGCAGTGAACCAGGCTTGACTTCTAGTGACTTGTTCACTCTCGCACTGTTGGCAGCTAGCACACAGAAGATGCACGTTATCTTTCACCAAAATGAAGGACTTGCTCTGGTCCGCAGAGAAACCTTGCCCCCACTCACCTGAGCATCTGGTCCAGGCGGCCATTGAGGAAGTTGACAGAGTCCAAACAGAGCTCCTGGAGGTGGTGCAGACTCAGGAACTGAGAGGCCAACTGGGCAACACACTGCTCCTCCTCCTCTGGGGATGTGTAGGAAGACGTGTTCCTGTGGGAGAGGAAGAGTCTGCGCAGACTTCCCATCTTGCCCAGGTAAGGAGCAAAATTCCCCAGGGTGGACAGTTTCCAGATACAATTCACGTCCAAGTGCTGCACAGAGTCCAGCTGCACCATTTTCAGGATCATCTTAATATGTTTCATGGGCACTGCAAAAATCTCCAGCTTCGTACAGCACAGGTGTAGTAAACCTTTCCTGTGCTTGACTTTCTCAATGAGGTAGGCGAGCAATTCGTCATGGGTACCTTTCCTGAGGTACAGGTCAACAAGCACCTGCAAGGGAACCAAGGGTTGCTTTGCCGCCATGCATGAAACTTCCACTTTCTGCTTCTTACTCATGGGCTGGGTTGCCTCTGGCGCCACCAGTGAGCACATGCCAGCCCTGGTTCCAGACCATACGGTCCAGAAATCCTGGTGAGCATTTCTGCGTAGATCTAGCACTCGCAGCTTCCACCTCCTACAGGGAAAACAGGCAATTAACTCAGAATAAGAGCACAAGTCTCAGAATCGAGGCAAGGACCAGATGTCTGACGTGCACTTTTACCACACACGCCAGACATCAGTTGCTCCCTTCCTACATGTCCTCTGCATCCTTCTCCTGCAATCCCTTCTCCCCTGAGATCTTCCTGGTCCCCACTTCTCATACCTTTAGGTGCCACCAGAAGGGTGCAGGTACACGTCCTTCAGTCACCTCTGTATCTTAAATGGCCCATCATGGCAGAAGCCCACTTCCAAAGTGACTCCAGCAATGGGCCCAAAACCTCCCTGAGCTTCCTCACCGGCACCATCAGAAGCCCCTGGCCACCCTTTGGTCCCCCACGCTCCCTGACCCCAGCTGTGTCTGCTCAGAATCCCAGGACCCTACCAGGCTACTGGATCACCCTCACCTGGGGCGAACCTTCTGAGCAATCAAGACATCAAGCCCACTGAGTGCAGCTTGAAAGATCTCCTTGTGAGGCTGCCATTCCCTCATCAGAGCCCCCAGAGGGAGGCAAGCGAAGGGCCAGGCCTGCACCATTGCCTTCAGGGTCTTGCTGTGTCTCCTAGCAAAGGCTGTCATGAAGAGTGGTGGGAACAGCTCCACGGGCAGCTCATCGAGGGCGGCGATGGCCAAGGCCTCATCTCTCAGCAGGCTCTGCCCTGCCAGGTCCACAAGTCTCGGTGGGGCCCACATGCTTATCCTGATGAATCTGCTCCGAAATGAATCCTGAGGAAACATGCAGGGAATAAGGCATCCCACTCATGCCAAGCACAAGCAACTACATCTTCTCCCCACACTTCAGAGAAACCAATTTGGAGCAAAGTCACTGCTCTGGCAACAGCAGGGGAGTCGTCAGTTTACCCCAATTCCATTCGTACTTGGTGGCCACAAAGCCACAGCTCTGCCTCTGCTGGCACCAGGACAAGCAAATGGCCAAGTGTGAAGGAGGGGGCCGGATGAGCACTGCCCCATGCCATAACCCGCTACTGCTCCATTTAATTGTAGCCCCCCAGGGAAGCGAGAAAGGAGGAGCCTCAAAACTGACCCCACCCTTTTCGAGGAAAAGTTTCTGATTATCACTCGTGGACAATGGGAATAGGAATGTCACCCGGCCCAGCACAGCCTCTTTCTCAGTTCCAACAAATAACCCAGATGGTAAACATAAGGCCACAGTGGGGGCCGTTTTGGAGGGGTTGGAGGTAGCTGACCAGTGAGGGGATCTGCACCCTTGACCTTGGTGATATCAACATCATACTCTAACCAACTGAGCTAACCGGCCAGCCTTCATTAAAAATTTTAAATGAGAAACCATAAAAGCAGTGTAACAGTTTTACTACGCATTTCAAAGTAAGAGACTAAGAAGACACATTCTGAGATGTACATTTTAATATGTATCTCTTTTACATATATGACAATTACCACTTTTACATGGAGTTCAGGGGAACAAATACTTCACAGTAGAACAAAGCCTCCACTCATTCTTTTTCCTTCAATACAGTTTTTAAGTTGATAAAATAATTTTATATGTTTATAGTGTACAAAATTATGTATACATACGGCTAACTCAAGCTAACATATGCATTACCTCACATATTTATTTGTGAAGAGAACAATTAAAACCTCCTCTCTTTGCCTTTTTCAAGTATACAATACAGTACCTTCTTAATAACTACAGTCACCATGCTGTACTCTAGAGCTCTTGAAAAAGCCTCCACTCGTAAAAAGATTCTATGGAATATTTTCTAAGCTTCGGTTTTAAAATTAAAAGCCTAAATAGTAAAATCACAAAACATAAATGATATAAACTAAAATTAGTGGTTACACACTAAATATTTAAAATGTCATCAAGTAAAATGCCAACTATTAGATGTCTTTCATTTCAGAAAGTAAACTCTAGTTTTTTTAAGAAATTATTATTATTATTATTATTATTATTATTTTTGGTGGCTGTTGGGTACAGGGATCTGAACCTGTGACCTTGGCATATAATACTGCATTCTAACCAACTGAGCTAACCAGCCAGCCCCAAGATATTATTTTAAATGTCCATAAAATTTAGGGGCAGTCCGTGGCTCACTTGGGAAAGTGTGGTGCTGATAACACCAAGGCCACGGGTTCAGATCTCTATATAAGGATGGCCAGTTAGCTTACTTGGGAGAGTGTGGTGCTGACAACAGCAAGTCAAGGGTTAAGATCCCCTTACTGGTCACCTTTTTAAATAAATAAATAGATAAATAGATAGATAAATAAATAAATAAATCACAGAATCCCAGCGGGGATTACCAGAGCACCTGCCCTCGGGTTTTTGGTCTATTTCTGTGCTTCTAGTGTCCCTCTCCCAGCCTGTGCTGCTGGGGCAGCCCTGTTTCTACATCCCTGAAATGTCAGCCAGCTCCTCTTGGAGCCTGAGATGTGGCCAAGTTTCTGGGAGACACTTCCACTGGCATCAACAGAAGTCAAGGAATTATCCCCAATTCTACTGAGCTATCTCAGAGAACATGACAAACCACAAGGTGTAGTGCAAAAAACCCAGCTGTTTTTCTGGATCCAAAGAGGCACCAGGAATGCTGGAGGACAACCTTCCTGGGTTCCAGAGGAAGACTCTAACTCCTCTGGCCTTCAACGAGGTGTCAGACTCATGAGAGGCCTGGAGACCAGTCCCCATGCCAGTGGCTCTCCCATCTTAGGCTCTCTTACCTAGTCCTTGAGCAGAACAATATTCCACCTGGGATCCAGTAAGGCTATTCCACCTCCAGAGTGAGATCTCTTCTTACCCTAACTTCTTTGCCCTATCTGCATTGTTAGTCATCAAAGGTCTCTGTTGGCCCTCCCTATGCCCTCCACTACTCAACAGGGCGTGGTTTCACTTCAGATCCAATAATTTCTAGACCTAAACAAAGGACTGCCCCTTTCTTCCTCCACAAGAAGGTGACCTGCATGATGACCCACATCTGTCCTCACTGCATGCCCCCTCCTGTCAGGATCTTGGTCTCAGTGTACCCTGATACAGCCACTCTTGGAGTTTGGAGCTTTGGGACATAAAGTCACCATTTCCTGCTCTGGAGGCAGCAGCGACATTGGGGGTTATAGCCAGGTGTCCTGTTACTGACAGTGTCCACACATCGTGCCACACTCTCAACACATGCAGTCATTCTTGGGCCTCACATCCCAGCTTGATTGTCCAGCTCCAAGCCAGGCCACGTGGGCTCGATGACCTCCTCAAGTGACACAGGATGACGAGGCTGTGTGATCTTGTTGCTCACTTCTTGGGAGCGACCCTTATGCCCAGTGGTCCAAGATCACGGGAAAGTGAGACTAAAACCTCTCTGAGCTCACACTATCCCTACTTGACACGACACAGATCTAGCCTTTGGTGTCTGATTACCCGGAGCAGAGGTTCTGAATGTAACTGTGGTTTCAGAATAGGGTCCTGAACACACTAGGGTTGCTTCTTATAAAAAGGCATAAGGACAAATGAAATGCTCTTTGGGGGAAATGACTTGAAAATATAAAGGCAACTCCTGCTTCTTCCTCCCTTGTGAGGGGCTTCAGGAAGCAGATTCCATTCAGCTCCTCAGTGACAAGGACAGAGGGGGCAACAGGGCTTTTGTGGGCACTGAGATAGTTCAAGGAACCACCTTACCTGATGACGTCTTCCGTCCACTCTGGTCCAACTCAGACTGGCCTCAGGTCTCCAATACGTAGCGTTCCAGGTGTCCTATTGTTTCAGTCACCCGTTTCCACCCAAGTCTGATAGCAGTAACTGAAATGCTCCAAAAACAAGAAGACTGTTTTAACACATGAATTTGTGAAGCAACGGCCTCCTGAGAAACCTCAGCAAATACTGCTGAGGAGACTGAAAACTGGGCACTTGGTCCCGCCCTTTCAGTGGGAATCCTTTTTTTTTTTTTTTTTTTTTTTTTTTTTTTTTTTTTTTTC